TTGCTGATCACACTATTCATACTATTCATCTACTATTCACTAATTTTGAAAAATTCCAAAAAAATAGTAAATGATAGAATTTTGACCTGAATTTTTGTATGCATATTACATTTGATGTCTATTAGTGTGTAGAGTTGATAGATTTGAAAAATCATTTGTAGAAAAAGAGATACACTTTGGTGGTGAAGAAAAATTTTGTGCAACTTAAAAGTATCATAACTTTTGCTAGGAGTGTCAGAATTTTTTCCACCATACATGACTTTAGGGTAGAATAAAATTTCCTATTCACTACAACAGAATGTTTTCCCCGATTTTCAAAAATTGCATGTTTTCTAAAAGTTTTTTTTATTTTTAAGTATTTATTGACCTATTTTTCTTGACTTTAGGCTTCCAATTTACATATCAGATCAATTCCAAAAATTCTGAAAATTTTTGTGCTGTTATCCTATACCATATAGAGATTTATCATGGTCTTAGTTCAACCATTGTTTGTGTTTTGATGGTACTTGCTTTGTTAACTGATTCAGTCCACTCAGGAAGTGTGTGTTGTTCCTTGTGATTCTAACCTTGCATGACCAGATCTAATCCAGGCACAGTTCACTCATTTGACCCTGAGATTGAGAGGACAAGATTGAGGCTTTTGAAATTGAAGAAAGGGCACCACACTACTCATAGTCAGATTACTTCACAGTCAAGCAACATGGCAAACAATCAAGAGAGGACTTTGAAGGAGCTTGCTGCCCCTGACATTGGACACCAACCATTGTGTACTCAGATACCACAATTGCAAGAGGGAGTAGCAAGTTATGAATTAAATTCTGGTCTTATTTACTTACTTCCTAAATTTCATGGTTTTGCAGGAGAAGATCCACACAAGCATTTGATGGAATTCCATGTGGTGTGTTCTACCATGCGACCAGTGGATGTGCCAGAGGACTTTGTCAAGATGAAGGCATTTCCATTTTCATTATGTGACATAGCCAAGGATTGGTTGTACCTGCAGCCAACTCCAATCTGTACATGGAGTGACATGAAGAGGCGATGTTTAGAAAAATTCTTCCCTGCATCCAGAACAGCAGCAATAAGGAAGGAGATTAGTGGCATTAGACAGCTGCATGGAGAGAGCCTATATGAATACTGGGAGAGGTTCAACAAGTTGTGTTCAACCTGCCCAAACCATCAGATAAATGAGCAGCTCTTGATTCAATATTTCTATGAAGGATTAATGCCTATGGAGCGCAACATGATTGATGCAGCCAATGGAGGTGCACTGATGGACAAGACTCCAGCAGCTGCAAGATATTTGATCTCCAACATGGCAGAAAATTCTCAGCAATTCAGTTCCAGAAATCTGACCACTAGAGCTGTACATGAGGCATCTACAAGCAGTGTTGCTGCAGTTGATAACCAAAGGCTGGAAAACAAGCTTACAGAATTGACTTCTTTGGTGAGGCAATTAGCCATGGGCCAGGCAGTTCCACAGATCTAGCAGACATGTGGCATTTGTGCAGGTGACCATTATACTAATTCTTGCCCTCAGCTGCAGGAGACAGCCTAGCCTTCTCATTTGGTAGCAGGCATACACCCTCCTTACCAGAGTCACCAGCAGCAACCTCAGCAATATAACCCTTTCTCCCCTACATACAATCCAGGGTGGAGAAGTCATCCCAATCTAAGGTATGGTCCACCAGCACCACAGCAACAACATAAATATGTGTACCAGCAGCAGCCTGCACAACCCTCATACCACCACCCACAACATCACCCTGTGCAGCAGCAGCAACCAAAGTATCTGCCTCCTCCTATGAGACAACAGCAGCAACCTACACAACAAAATCAAGCTCAACAACAACCTCCTCCACATCCCAGCAGTAGTGGACCTTCCTTGGAGGAGTTGATGAGTCAAATGGCCACTCAAAGTTTGCAGTTCTAGCAGAACGTTTCAGCCACCATTCAGGACTTACAGACCCAAATTAGGCAGCTAGCAACTTCAGTGAATAATTTACAGCAGCAAGGGTCTGCAACACTTCTTTCTCAGCCTGTAGTTAATCCAAAAGGTAATGTAAGTGCTATTACTTTAAGAAGTGGCAAGGAACTGACCAATTGCCCAGTGCAAGCCAGTGAAGGTAGTGGAAGTGAAGAGGGAGTCCGAGACAATTCAGCACAACAGCAGATTCCCCTTCCTTTCCCAACCAGAGTTCTTCCACCAAAGAAAATAGAAATAGATCAAGAGTTGCTGGGCACCTTCAAGAAGGTAGAGATTAATATTCCTCTGCTGGATGCCATCAAACAGATTCCTCGATATGCAAAATTCTTGAAGGAGCTCTGTACTTATAAGAGGAACTTGAAGAAGAGAAATGTCCAGACAGTTTCATCCTTGTCCCATTCTAGCCTTCCACAGAAATGCGGTGATCCAGGAACTTTCTCCATTCCCTGTACAATTGGAGAGTCCTCTTTTGCTAGTGCCTTGCAGGATTTGGGAGCTTCTATTAATGTTATGCCTTCAGCCATATATAAGATGTTGCATTTGGGAGACTTGAAACCAACCAACGTGATTATCCAGTTAGCAAACCGAAGCACAGCTTAGCCCTTGGGAGTGCTCGAACACGTGTTAGTGTTGTTAGCAATCTACACTAGCAAGTGCACTAGGATTGCAGCAAGTGATGAGTAAATTTAAGATCCAAATATCGTCTCCACAGGGAATTTAGATTCAAGTATCACTTCATAGAATTATAACCATTTAAGCTTTTTCGAAATTGTAAAGAGAGTGGTAACATCTAATAACAGCAAACTGGAACAATTAAAAGTAAAATGAACTTGCAGAAAACAGAACAATGAACACACAGTTATGTGATAACAGAGGGAGAAACCATAGCTAGGGAATTGCTTCACCAAAACTCCAGTGTTCAACCAATAAAGTTCTGAATTAACAAGCAATTGGAAAGAATGACAATTAGTTGCACATTATATTATTCAGAGGTTAATTCCTTAACTCAGTGAACCTAACATTCAATTAAACCATTCTAATTCCTTAGATCTGATTCAATTCAATATTGCTTTAAGTGTAAGAAACCAAAGGATTGCAAGATCAAAGTTCCTTATCCCTAAGAAAACTATAATCTCGGTGATTGGTTCAAATCTGAAGAACAAATTCAATTTCCATTGACAAGAGTTCTTCTGAATTTAGTTAATCAAATTTCCATTCAATTTCCACGTGAAGTTCAGAATCAATCACTCAATCTATTCCAAAGCTTGAAATCCAGATGTAAATCAATTCAACATGTTCATTTCAGATCTACAATCCCTAACTATGAACGAATTACACAGTCATGGCAGCAGAGAAAAGAAAAGAAAGAGAAGAAGAGAAGAAGAAAATCAGAAACGCCATGGAAGCTTGCTCCACTCCAATTCCTCTTCGTGAAGCTCCAAGATTCGAATCCCCACTCCTCTCTCTCACTTCCTCTAACAAGAAGCTAACTAAAAAAACTGAAAATGAACAGAATCCCCAATTTCTGGATCGTTTCTGGTATTTATAAAATTTTCCAGATTTTCACGTTATCACTTTTATGAGAAATAGTAGTTACGCAGAGAGTTATTGGTTGCGCGTTAACACTTTTCCCAGAAATAGTGGCCACGCACATTTTCCTGATATTGAGGGCTCTCTGGAACTATCACTCTTGATGATAAAAGTGACAACGCAGAGTCAGGACAGTTGCACGTTATCACTATTGTTGATAAAAGTGACTACGCGCAACTCGCCAAGTTGAAGACTCTCTGGAACGCTCACTTTTGATGACAATAGTGGTTACGCAGAGCTGTCCTGATATTTTGCCTCTCTAGAACTATCACTTTTAATGATAAAAGTGGTTACACAGAGCTTTCTTTCTTCTTTGAACTTCTGAAGTGATCACTTTCACTGATAATAATGATCACGCCCAGTCTGCAATTTCTTATTTTTGAGTTTATGGAGTCCAGACTTGCTTCTTCCCTCTTCCTTGTCATCAAACTTCCATGAATATGATCCTTGCTCAATTTATTCCTTCAAAAACAAGATTAAAAACTTAATTCCTAAGCAAAAATTTCACAATTACTAAAATAACTACAAATTTAAACAAACTTCAATTCCTTTTATTTTTCTAAGTTTTTCTGCTTTCTTTATAAATTTTTCTTATCAAATGTGTTAGAATTATGCTAAAATATCAGTCAAAATATGCATTCATCAGTTGGTAAAAGTTAACCAATTGATTTTTCTGGCTGATTTTTACATTCTTGATATGCAGGATGAGAACTCGACCTTGATTCTGGGTAGACCATTCTTGATGACTGCGAAGACAAAGATTGATGTCCATACTGGCACACTGTCCATTGAGTTTGGAGATGACACAGTTCATTTCAATATCTTTGATGCCATGAGACATCTGGCTGAGAGCCATTTGATGCTTTCCGAATGTTCTGATTTTTCTATTTTTCTTATTAATGTAGTAGATAGAAATTCTGATTTAGATTCTGATACAGTTCATGTAATTGATTTTGATTTTGATTTTGATTCTGCTTTTGATTCTGATATTGATATTGCTGTAGATTCAGATTTTGACTTGTCTCAGTTTTCAGACTTAGATTTAGATTTAGATGCTTTACCAGGATGCACCTGTGATAATGGCATTTGTTCCATTTGTGCTGAGATTAATACTGCCATATCTTCTGTTGTTTTGCCTTCCATTGCAGGTGCAGATCCAGATTCTGTGATATCCATGGCTGCTGCAGCCCCACAGTTTCCATTATTAGTTATTCAACAGCAGCCAGGTTCATTGGAGTTGAGCCCTCTGCCAAATCACCTTAAATATGCTTATCTGGATGCAGAGCAGTAGAGATTTCCGGTAATTATATCCAGCAGCCTTCTGGAGGATCAGGAAGAGAAGTTGCTACAAGTCCTAAAGGTGCACAAGAATGCCATCGGTTGAAGCTTGAATGACATTTCTGGAATCAGTCTAGCCGTATGTATGCACAGGATTCACTTAGAGGATGAGTCTAGACCAGTAAGGCAACCCCAAAGAAGACTCAACCCTACCATTCTAGATGTAGTGAAGAAGGAGGTGTTTATGGATGATTTTACTGTTTACGGTTCTTCATTTGATTCATGTCTGCATAGCTTAACCAAGGTGTTAGAAAGATGTGTTGAAACTAACCTTGTACTTAATTATGAGAAATGCCATTTTATGGTAAAGGAAGGTGTAGTTTTAGGACATCTTATTTCTGAGAGGGGAATACAGGTTGATAAGGCAAAAATTGATGTTATTTCCTCTCTATCTTACCCCGCGTCTGTGCAGGAGGTGCGTTCTTTCCTTGGACATGCAGGTTTTTACAGATGATTTATCATAGATTTCAGTACCATTGCACTGCCGCTGTCCAGTCTTCTGCAAAAAGACGTACCATTCTTATTCTCAGATTCGTGTAAGGAGGCGTTAGAGGAGTTGAGGAGGAGACTCACCACAGCACCTACCATGCAGCCACCAGATTGGGAGCTTCCCTTCGAGTTGATGTGTGACGCCTCTGATTTTGCACTTGGAGCTGCATTATCTCAGAGAGTCGGTAAATTTCCGCATGTTATTGCCTATGCCTCTAGAAATCTCGATGCAGCCCAGATAAATTATATCACCATTGAGAAGGAGCTGTTGGCTATTGTTTTTGCACTAGATAAATTTCGTTCTTATCTGCTTGGCTCCAAAATTACTGTCTTTACAGATCACGCTGCACTAAAATTCCTATTGAAGAAGCCGGATGCGAAACCCAGATTGATTAGATGGATGCTTCTTCTGCAGGAATTTGATATTGAGATAATAGACAGAAGTGGTGTATTGAATTAGGTTGCTGATCACTTGAGCCGTATTGAAGGGACTGTTGACCCTTTACCTATTCGTGATAGTTTTCCTGATGATTATTTATTTGCTCTGAACTCTATAGACTCTATTCCCTGGTTTGTTGATATTGTGAATTATTTGGTTACTTCTGTTGTACCTCCTCATGCATCTAGATCCCAGATTGATAAATTGAAAAGTAATGCTAAATATTATGTCTGGGATGATCCATATCTGTGGAAATTTTGTAATGACCAGGTCATCCGTCGATGTGTTCCTAACCACGAATTTCAAGACATTCTGTATTTTTGTCATGGCACATCTGTAGGAGGCCATTTTGGACCGCAGAGGACAGCCAGGAGAGTTTTGGACAACGAATTCTATTGGCCCACCATTTTCAGAGATGCAGACAGATTTTTTGAGAGCTGTGAGATATGCCAGAAGGTGGGAGGGACTATTACTAGGAGACATGAGATGCCTCAACAGCCTATTATTTTCTGTGAGATCTTTGATGTTTGGGGCATTGATTTTATGGGTCCTTTTCCTATTTCTACGGGATACTCTTACATATTGCTTGCTGTTGACTATGTGTCTAGATGGGTGGAGGCAAAGGCCACAAGAACTAATGATTCTAAGGTTGTTTTGGATTTTCTCCGTACTCATATTTTTTGCAGGTTCAGTGTGCCTAAGGCTGTCATCAGTGACCAGGGAAGTCATTTTTGTAACAGGACCATTGCACCATTGTTCCAGAAGTATGGGGTTACACATAGAGTTGGTACACCATATCATCCCCAAACTAATGGGCAACCTGAGGTATTCAACAGGGAAGTCAAGCACCTGTTGCAGAAATTAGTGCACCCGAATAGGAAAGATTGGAGTAAGTTTCTGGATGATGCTCTCTGGGCTCAGAGGACAGCTTATCGGACACCATTAGGCATGTCTCCATTTTGAGTGGTGTTTGGTAAAGCATGGCACCTTCTGCTGGAAATTGAGCATCGATCATATTGGGCTGTAAAGAGTTGTAACTTAGCACTTGAGCAGGCCGGAATTGAAAGAAAGCTCCAGCTTCAGGAGCTTGATGAAATACGCTTGCAAGCCTATGAGAATTCTAGATTGTATAAAGAGAAAGTTAGGAGATTTCATGATATACATATTCTGAGGAAAGAGTTCTCTGTAGGCCAGAAAGTGTTATTGTTTAACTCTCGATTAAAATTGATTACAGGTAAGCTTCAATCTAAATGGGATGGACCTTTTGTGATTATTCATGTTTTTTCCCATGGTGCAGTTGAGATTCAGGATGAAGCTACCAGCAGGACTTTTAAAGTCAATGGTCATCAGCTGAAACTATTCCAGGAGAGTAGACCAGTGGAGCCGGCTCAGAACATAGTTGATTTATCCTTAGTGGAGCCTACTTTGATGGAGGATGTGTCTTCTTAGGCACTTAGAGTTTGAGTTTGGAGCATTGTGTTCTTTGATCTTTGTTTCTTTTCTTTATAGTTTCCTTTACTTGTTCATATATAGTTTTCATTTTATTCTTGGACTGTTTGCATGTGTTGCATTTTTTTATTTCCTTTTCCCACATTGTGGACAATGTGTGTTTTAAGTGTGGGGGGAGGGAGTAGTCCTTAGCATATTTTTTATTGGATTCCCTTGCTTTTAGAGACTTTATTTTTGTGAGCATCTTTTCATTTGCCATTCTTAGTTAGAAGTTTCATAACTTGATAGATGTGTTTCTTGCATTTTGAGTATTAGCTAGTTTTTCATTATGATTAGGTCTTTGATCATTGATTGGTAGAATGTATGCCTTAGTGAGATTTGAGCTTATCTTCTTTCTTGTGTGATTCACTCATGTTTGTAGGTATTCTAGAACTTGATTTGACTCTTTTTGATGTCATTTGTTCACATGCACTTTTGATATGATTTAGGCCTTCTTTTGATTCTAGCCACTTGGCCAAATTGATTTACCTTGCATGTATTTCATTTGTTTTCCCCTTTGAGCCTTGTTGACCTTTTTCTTGATGATTTTGCAGCTCATTGCAAGCCATGTAACTTGAAAAACCATGATGTGCCCAACCTTTGGGAATAGATGAGCTTTGGAATTGTTTTGGGAATTGGTTAAAAACAAGTGTGGGGGTGTTTTGTACATATTGCTTTATTCATGACATTTTGAGCATATTTTGATGCTTTGTAAGTTGATTGGAAAAGTGGATTGCATAGAAACAGTGCAGTACCTACAAAGAAAATAATAATAATAAAAAAAAAAACAAAAATAAATAAATAAATAAATAAAAACTATTATTTTAGGTTTTGTACATTTGCTCTTGTTGAAATAGTTGTGAAGTTTTTGTTTTTACTTGTTTTTAATCCATTCCCCATTGCTCTTCTTTTCTCTTTGGTTTTTAGCTTGTACACTTTCTTTTATCTTACATTTACCTTAGCCACATTACAAGCTTAATTAAAGTCCTATTGATCTTTGATGCATGTGTTTTAACTGGTAGAAATTAGAGGCTCTTCAAGCTTATGAAAATACTTATTTTCATGATGTGCTTTGAGTGAAATTTCTTGCCTAGACACTTGAGAGATTGAGTGATACACATCTTTGTGAGAATTTTACCAATTGTGATCCATAATTTGATTTGATTGAAACTCTTCTTTACTTTTAATGTTGGAGCATATTCTTGATTGTTTTGATTCTTCCATACTTTGATTGCTGGCTGATTTTTGTTGCTCACATTACTTACACTTTGTGATCCATTGAAAAATTTTACTTTGTGTTCATTTCTTTTGTTTTCTTTTCTTTTCTTTTCCTTGGGATTGCAAAAGCTTAAATGTGGGGGTATTTGATAGCTCATATTTTGTTCTCATATTTTTAGTCTGATTGCATCCTTTGCATGTCTTTTCATTCCCTTATTTCTTCCATTTAATATGTTTTTGCATTTATCATGTTCATTAGGAATTTTCATAAATACTATACTTTTGTTCATATTTTCTATTCTGACCTTTAGTTACTAATTTGGCCATAACTTTTTTTGTAGATATTCTTTTTGGCTCATTCTTTTTGCATTGGATTCCTTACTTCCAGGGCTTCAATTTGGACATATGGATCATGCTATTTGGAGTCTGGAGATATTTTCTAAGAATTTTAGAAGTTTATACTTTTCTATAGCTTTTGTTTAGCTTTTGTTTTGTGGTTTTGTTATACTTGTTTTCAGCCCAGCTTTGGCCCATTCGGTTTTGCTCTTTTAGGACTACTATTTATAGAGGCCAGGGGCTGATTTGGAAGCACTTTTAATTCATTTTTTCATTTTTCAGTTTTGTAATAACTTTCCTGCTTCCAATAGAAACTCTGAAATTTTTACCCATTCTCTTCTTCTCTTGCAATTTTTCACTTCGAATTTGCATTGCTCTACATTTTACAATTGAAAGGCGATTAGTTTCTTCAATTTCCAGACGAATTCTTCCATGTTTCTTCTCCAATTATGTTGCCAAGGTCCAGATCGCATTTGTTCAAGACGTTTTTGATGCACCGAGTTTGTTTTCTGATATCATACCTTTGCGATTGCATAGAAAGCATTGTTCGATTGAATTGTGCATTGTCCATAATCGCATAATAAGCAATTGATTAATTGTTTGTTGTGCAGGAGATATTTGAACAATTCGATTTTCATTCTCGGTTTTGGTTTTGTGTGTTTGGATCTTGGTTTTCATTCCCTGCGTTTAATTCTCTGCACTTAATTCCCTGCCTTTAATTCTCTGCATTTTAATCTTCTGCATTTAATCATAAAACATCCCCAAACATAAATGTTTTCAGCATAATTGATATTGAAACAATGTGCATTTGCATCCTTGTGAGAGATGACCTAGGTTGTTCCCCAAACTACATGTTTTTGTGCGGAATTTAGTTACTTTTGATACCTTAGCGACATGGTAATCACCAGGCGAGACCCAAATTGCAATTTGGGCCCAAAGGCGCCAGGAGGCGAGAGAGAGACAGGGAACTCTTCCTATTAGTCCTAGCAGTCACCTCCAAGGTGTTTCCGTGGCCCAAGACAAGTTTTGCACGCATTCCTTAGCGACTAAGCAAAAGAGGACCCAGGCGAGACCCAAATTGGAATTTGGGCCCAAAGGCGCCAAGAGGCGAGAGAGAGACAGGGAACTTTTCCTATTAGTCCTAGTAGTCATTTCCAAGGTGTTTCAGTGGCCCGAGATAAGTTTCGCACGCATTCCTTAGCGACTAGGCAAAAGAGGACCCAGGCGAGACCCAAATTGGAATTTTCGCCCAAAGGCGCCAGGAGGCGAGAGAGAGACAGGGAAACTCTTCCTATTAGTCCTAGCAGTCACTTCCAAGCTTTTTCAGAGGTCCGAGATGAGTTTTGCACGCGTTCCTTAATGACTAAGCAAAAGAGGACCCAGGCGAGACCCAAATTAGAATTTGGGCCCAAAGGCGCCAGGAGGCGAGAGAGAGACAGGGGGCTCTTCCTATTAGTTCTAGTAGTCACTTCCAAGGTGTTTTAGTGACCCGAAAGGAGTTTTGCACCTGTTCCTTAACGACTAAGCAAAAGAGGACCTAGGCGTAACCCAAATTGCAATTTGGGCCCAAAGGCACCAAGAGGCGAGAGAGAGACAGGGAACTCTTCCTATTAGTCCTAGCAGTCACTTCTAAGGTGTTTCATTGGCCCGAGATGAGTTTTGCACGCGTTCCTTAGTGACTAAGCAAAAGAGGACCCAGGCGAGACCCAAATTGGAATTTAGGCCCCAAGGCACCAGGAGGCGAGAGAGAGACAGAGAACTCTTCCTATTAGTCCTAGCAGTCACTTCCAAGATGTTTCAGTGGCCCGAGAAGAGTTTTATACGTGTTCCTTAGCGACTAAGCAAAAGAGGACCCAGGCGAGACCCAAATTGGAATTTGGGCCCAAAGGCGCCAGGAGGCGAGAGAGAGACAGGAAACTCTTCCTATTAGTCCCAGAAGTCACTTCCAAGGTGTTTCAGTGGCCTGAGATAAGTTTCGCACGCATTCCTTAGCAACTAACCAAAATAGGACCCAGGCGAGACCCAAATTGGAATTTTGGCCCAAAGACGCCAGGAGGCGAGAGAGAGACAGGGAACTCTTCCTATTAGTCCTAGCAGCCACTTCCAAGGTTTTTCAGTGCCCGAGAAGAGTTTTGCACGTGTTCCTTAGCGATTAAGCAAAAGAGGACCCAGGCGAGACCCAAATCGGAATTTGGCACCAAAGGCACCAGGAGGCGAGAGAGGGACAGGAAACTCTTCCTATTAGTACTAGCAGTCACTTCCAAGGTGTTTCAGTGGCCCGCAAGGAGTTTTGCACGTGTTCCTTAGCAACAAAGCAAAGGAGGACTCAGGCGAGACCCAAATTAGAATTTGGGCCCAAAGGCGCTAGGAGGCAAGAGAGAGACAGGGAACTCTTCCTATTAGCCCTAGCAGTCACTTCCAAGGTGTTTGACTGGCCCGAGATGAGTTTTGTACGCATTCCTTAGTGATAAGCAAAGGAGGACCCAGGCGAGTCCCAAATTGGAATTTGGGACCAAAGGCACGAGGAGGCGAGAGAGGGACAGGCATCTCTTCCTATTAGTCCTAGCAGTCACTTCCAAGGTGTTTCAGTGGCCCGCAAGGAGTTTTGCACGTGTTCCTTAGCGACTAAGCAAAGGAGGACTCAGGCGAAACCCAAATTAGAATTTGGGCCCAAAGGCGCTAGGAGGCAAGAGAGAGACAGGGAACTCTTCCTATTTGCCCTAGCAGTCACTTCCAAGGTGTTTGACTGGCCCGAGATGAGTTTTGTACGCATTCCTTAGTGACTAAGCAAAGGAGGACCCAGGCGAGACCCAAATTGGAATTTGCGACCAAAGGCACCAAGAGGCGACAGAGAGACAGGGAACTCTTCCTATTAGTCCTAGCAGTCACTTCCAAGGTGTTTCAGTGGCCCGCAAGGAGTTTTGCACGTGTTCCTTAGCGACTAAGCAAAAGATCACCCACGCAAGACCCAAATTGGAATTTGGGCCCAAAGGCGCCAGGAGGCGAGAGAGCGACAGGGAACTCTTCCTATTAGTCCAAGCTGTCACTTCAAAGGTGTTTCAGTGGCCCGAGACGAGTTTTCCACATGTTCCTTAGCGACTAAGCAAAAGAGGACCCAGGCGAGACCCAAATTGGAATTTGGGCCCAAAGGCACCAGGAGGCGAGAGAGAGACAAGGAACTCTTCCTATTAGTCCTAGCAGTCACTTCCAAGGTGTTTGACTGGCCCGAGATAAGTTTTGCACACGTTCCTTCGCGACTAAGCAAAAGAGGACCCAGGCGAGACCCAAATTGGAATTTGGGCCAAAAGGCACCAGAAGGCAGGAAAGGGACAGGGAACTCTTCCTATTAGTCCTAGTAGTCACTTCCAAGGTGTTTCAGTGGCCCGAGAGGAGTTTTGCACGTGTTC